TGTGTGACACAATTACAGAAATGATCCTTAGCACTATTCCTGTGGAAACAAAGGAACATCTACCTATTTAGTTAAAAGATCAATGACAAATCAATGTTGGAAACAAAGCCCAACTTGGGAAACTAATGTGGTTTCCTTTCTAGGGGTGTTTTGTCTGCATGTATGTCTCTGCACCATGTGTGTTCCTCATGCTCTCTGAGGTCAGAAGAAGGCATTAGATGACATGGAGTTGAGGGTACAGTTGAGGTTATCATGTGAAAGTGCCTTGAATTCAAAATGAGTCTTCTGAAAGAGCAGATAATGTTCTTTGCCACTGAGTCATCCCTAATCCCAGTGGATCATTGAGCTTTAGTGGAGTGACTTAGAAGAGGCGGGGTGAGGGGGTACTTACAGAAACACAAAGGAATCAATGAAGGCTATGTAACCCTGTGAATGTGATCGCTAATGAAGCTGAAAACCTGGAGATCACTACACAGCTTGTAAGAAGCTAAAGGTATATTGGAAGTGTCTTTCAAGCCATTCCCTACAGTTTGTCTGGTCTTGTCTGGTCCAGGCAATTTGACCGGTGTCTGCTTTATGGCTGATCTGAACATCTTCTCTGTGGTTCAGCTGTCTGTAAGTGTTAGCAATCATTACTGATTATATATGCTTCAGGAAGGAAGGCACTAGTGAATCTTGCCAGGTTTTGGGACTTCCTGAACCTATTAAGTTGTTCATTTCTGAGCTTCAGGACCTTCTCTGTAGGATGAACTGTTGACAGTAAAGAGAAATCAAGAATTTATATTGGTAAAAATTCCCTGTATACAGAGGTAACCCAGGAAAATATTACAATGTTCAAGCTATCCAGGTGTGATTCCAGATCAGCCCAATGCAATAGACCAGCAGATCCAGAACTTGCCTGATAGCAATGACCATGTGAATGTCACCAAAATACCACAAACACATATTGTAGACTAAATAGCCTCTTCAAACAGTAGTATTGGGAAAAGAATCTATGCACATATAAAAACAAGAACCTAGATTCAAGTTCTCCTACCATGCAAGGAATCACAGACTTTCATGTATGATCTGAAACAGTGAATCCTTCAGAGTATCATGAAGGGGCAACAGCAATAACAATCAAATAGTATTGTATAAAAATTTTTAAAATGCAGTGGAAAGCTAATAATTAAAAGTATGAAGAGACAGCCTACACAGCAGATATATTTATTAGCTATTTTTTATACTGCAATAGATAAAATCCCAGAATCAAAAAATTACACAGGAAGCAAATGATAATGTAATTATAAATAAGCAAATGGATTGAACAGAGCATGATCAACAGCAGTTGAAAGTGCCAATGTGTACATATTAAAAACCTTTTCATTGCCAGCTAGGCGTGGGTGGTGGTAGCACAGGCCTTTAATTTCACTATTTGGAAACTCAATCTCTGAGTTGAATGCCAGCCTGCTCTACAAAGTGAGTGTCAGGAAAGCCAAGGCTACACAGAGAAACTTGTCTCAAACAAACAAACAAACAAACAAAAAGGTTCTACATCCTCCAGGCCCCTAGCAGGGCATGGCCAGGTGGGGCTTCTGTAATCACATGCCTGGATTGCTTGACCAGCCACTCGACCATCACCTGGGCTGAGGCTGCTGGTGCTTCTTTCTGTTGTCTGGTTGTAAATGCAAATTTAATATATAGCAATTCTAATTCTACCTACTCAGTGTCTCCTCTCTAGTTCATAAACAATAACAAATTATTTCCTTCAGTTTTTTAAATGAATTGGATAATACTCCCTAAGCAAGTGACAAAAAATGAATTATAGCATTAAAAAAATAAAAATAAAAGCTAACTTTAAAACATACATTTTCTACCAAAAATTTATTTGATTTCTAACCATACAACATACTGAGAAAGATTAAATTGAAAAATTACCAAAATATGAACAGAAGTAAAGTAGACAGAGGATCATAATTCTAATAGTAATATAAAAAACAAGACAAAAGCATCAAAATACAAAATAAGCAGTATTAGCAAATGATAACATGAATCAACATGGGTACATGTTACAAAAGCCAAAATCAGACAGACATTCACAGCAGACAGAAAAGAGAATACAAAAAACATGTGCAAACTAGCACATTGCCTCATGTTTTTTTTTCAAACACAAGAAGACAACCTAAAAATGTTCTGTCTTCTTTAAGACTCCAAGCAATTCCCATTAAAATATCCTATTTCCATATTTTACAGAAAGTAATCCTGAAAGTACCCACAAGAACAGAGCTGGAAAACACGAAAAGAATTAAACTTAGAGGTGATCTCACAATATATTACATTTACACCAATGGAAAACACTTGGAATTGTCATGATAGCAGAGAGTAGGAGATATCCATAGGAAGACAGTAGAGATGGAATATAACAATCTGTAAATATGCTTCCTGATGCTTATCAAAACTCTATTGGCATTATTTTCAGGAACAGAAATATTAATACTAAAAGGTAGAAAATGTGCTAGAACACCAAAGCTCAACAATTCTGAAAACAGTAAAGAAACCTAGAGGTATAATTTTGATCAAATTATAATATATTATAATATAATATATATAATATTATATTATATATAATATAATAAATATATAATATTTATTTATTTTTATTGAGTTCTACATTTTTCTCTGCTCCCCTCCCTGCCTGTCCCCACCTTTCAACCCTCCCCCAAGGTCCCCATGTTCCCAATTTACTCATTAGATCTTGTCTTTTTTTACTTCCCATGAAGATAAGATCTATGTAAGTCTCTCTTAGTGTCCTAATTGTTGTCTAAGTTCTCTGGTATTGTGGTTTGTAGGCTGGTTTTCTATTGATCATTTTTAAAAAATATTTATTTATTTATTTATTATGTATACAACATTCTGCCTGCATGTATGCCTGCATGTATGCCTGTACACCAGAAGAGGACACCAGATTTCATCATAGATGGTTGTGAGCCACCATGTGGTTGCTGGGAATTGAACTCAGGACCTCTGGAAGAGCAGCCCATGCTCTTAACCTCTGAACCATCTCTCCAGCCCTTGATCATTTTATAATATATTAAAATCACAGAAATGAAAACCATTTATTGGCATGATAACATGATCAGTGAGGTGAATGGAGTAAGGACAGCATCACTCATATGTATAGTCAAATATAATTTTTCTTGCTTTCCTTATCTATTCTTCTGTAGAAAATCTTCTCATAAGGTGGAGGCCCAAAAATGTGAGCACATTTCCACTTTGTCTGATGGTCAGAGAGTTTGAGGTTGCTCAGAATTGTTGACAACACCCAGGCCTTCACAGCCTGACCCAGGATGTGGTTGCTTGGTTCTTTTGACATTAAGATGACCCATACAGGTAGATCCACTCCACTCTGAGAGATGGTCAGAATATGCAAGCATACTTCTGCTCCTTCTTTTGTATTAGGAGGTATATATAACCTGGGGAATGACTGCCTTCAGGATACTTGTTCTAGGGTGGCTTCACTGCCTAAACAACAGAATGCTGATGACTTGATGTCTCAAAGTTGTCCTTTGTATCATATTAAAGAAGTCTTTTGTTGCCTTCTTCCCCCTTTTGTATTGGGGTATAAAAGTGTATGGAAACTTAAATGTGGGTCATTTCGGTCTTCACTGGACCTCCCTCCCGGTACTCTCCTATGTTTTCTATTTTATTATTTTCACTCACATCTTCATCCTCTTTACTATTTTTTCTGATCCCCATAGCCCTACCCTGGCAAATGGTAATTTTGTTGAAGCTGGTCACCAAAATTGTTGGCGGAGGCTACGCATTTGTTTCCCGGCTGCCCAGACTCCTGAAATAATCACACAGAAACTATATTATTTGCAATACTCGTCGGTCAATAGCTAAAACGTATTTCTAGCTAGTTCTTATAACTTAAACTAACCCATCTCCATTAATCTCTATATCACCACAAGGTCATGGCCAACCAGCAAAATGTCAACAAGCTCCAGTGGAGGCCTCTGTCTACTGTGATGGCTACAAGACTTCTCCTCGACTCTGCCTACTTTCTCCTCTTCTATCTTCTTGGCAGGTGGGTGGTGGAATTCCTGCCTTGCCCTATTCTGCTAAGCCACTGACTGAAACAACTTTATTCATGAACAAATAAAAGCAACACATATACAGAAGAACTTCCCACACTACAACATCATACCTACAATGGGATAATCATGAGATCTTTCTCAGTGGAAGCCTCCAGAATGTGGCAAAACTGATTTCATATTCCACTTACACATTCACTTGATCCGCTTTCCACCCCTTCCCTAATTCCTCTACCATACCTGCATCAATAGTTGCTGTCTCCTCTGCTTCCAGGCCCTTTGTTCTGCTACACAGTAGAGCAGTTCTGGATGATCAATGAGCCCTGCACATGACTAAGAGACTGTTCAGAAAGCACCTGAATTTCTAACTCAGTACTGTGCTCAGTAGATGAAGAGAAAACTAAATATGGGGTTATACAAGTGATTCCTCAATTGTCATGGAGTGTCAGAATATTTAGAAATCATATTCAATTAGTGTAACTTGAATTCCACTCTCAATCACAGTTCAGTCAAAACTCAGGGGCAGAAACAAAAGTAAATGATTAGGATGACAATCTTATACACAAATGAGTTGTGAATTTATTATGAACCAACTACGTTTTAAGTGTTACATCTCTCAAAGAGACATACACCTACAGAGTAATTTGCCAAGACATCCTGAGGAAGAGAGAGGGAGACTGCAAGCAAACTATCCTCACCCACAGAAGTCAGACTACTACAGTTCTGCAACATCTAATCTCTGTACAAAGTCCTCAGGGCAGGGTCCAGGCATTGTCCTTCCTTTTGGGAGAAGTCCACAGTCCCATCACTGGCTGTAAACAGACCACAAAATAAAACATGACAGTTTGAATTGTCCTGTTGGTGCACACCTTTAATCGTAGCATTTGGGAGATACAGGTGGGAGGATCTCTATTTTTCTAGTCCAGCATGGCCTATAAGGTGAGTTTGGGCCACACCTGTGAGTTTAGGTCTCAAACATAGCAAACAGCAGAACCAAAAAATATGTTTGGTCTTGTGTCCATGGACAGAGTGGTTTCTTGTACCAAGGAAACAAAAGATTACCACAGGCATTTTTCTGGTGTAGTTGAGCTATTGTAAATATTCAAAAGATGCTTTCTGATAATATTTATAAATATATAATTACATAAATATTATATCTATATGTATATGTATATACATATAAATGTATATATACATAAATATTATATCTATAAATTCTATCCTAGAATACCTTTTAAACTCCCCCTACCAATAAACATCATTTCTCTGTGTAGCCCTGACTATGTCTAAACTTTCTCTGTATGGCAGACTGGCAAGGAACTTCAAGGTCCACTTGTCTCTGCCTCCAGAAAATGCCTTTTTAATCCGATACCTTTAGATAGCATACTGTGACTTTCCAGGTCCTAAGTTGCAACATTAAGATCTCAGCACAAGAAGCCACATTTATTTTTCCTTTTCCTTTCCTTTTCTTTTTCTTTTTTAAATTTTCTGTTTTTTGTTTCCCATCCCCGGAACCCACAAGGATGACCCCAGCTAAGACCCTAAGCAATAGTGGAGAGGGTGCCCAAATTGACCTTAACCTGTAGTCAGATTGACAACTATCTTAAATGTCACTATAGAACCTTCATCCAGCAACTGATGGAATCAGAGGCAGAGATCCACCATGGAACACTGGCATGAGCTCTCAAAGTCCAGTCAAATAATGGGAGGAATGAGAATATGAGCAAAGAGGTCAAGACCACGACGAAGATACCCACTGAAACAGTTTAGCTGAGCAAATAGGACCTTATCATCTATAGCTGGGCAGCGAAGGATCCAGAATAGAATCAAATTAGGCCCTCTGAATGTGGGTGACAGTTGAATGGCTGGGGCAGACTCCAAGGTCACTGGCAGTGGGGCCAGAATTCATCCCTACTGCTTGTACTGGCTTTTTGAAACTGATTACTTTTGAGTGGATACCTTGCTCAGCCTAGATATAGTAGCGAGGGCCTTGGTCCTTCATCAAAGCAATGTGCCTTACCCTCTCTGAGAAGTGGATAGGGAAGAGTAAGGTGGGGTAAAGGTAGAGGGAATGGGAGAAGGAGAGGGAGTGGGAACTGGGATTGGTGTGTAAAATGAAAAAAAACATAGTTTCTTCTGGTTTTACTTTTTTTAAAAAAAAAGGACAACATCAATTATGCAGCAGCAGCAGCAACAACAACAACAACAACAATAAAATGTCAGGGTCTACTCATGTAACTCTGGCTGCTCTAGAACTCACTTTGGAGATCAGGCTGGCCTCCAATTTACTGAAATTCTCCCATCTCTAGCTGTAGAGTGGTGGGATTAAAGGTATGTGACACCAAGTCTGGCAAACACTGGGGTGGGAAGTCCTTCTGTATATGTGTTGCTTTTATTGGTTAATGAATAAAGAAGCTACCTTGTAGGGCAGAGTACAGGTAGTCCAGTGGGTGTGGGGATAAACTAAATGCTGGGAGAAAGAAGGCAGAGTCAAGGAAATGCCATGTAGTCAGCAGAGGAGAAAGATACGACCTGTCAGGTGGAACCTTGCCAGTAGGCCTTGAGCTTCATGGTAAAATATAAAATAATGGAAATGGGTTAATTCTAGATTTAAGAGCTAGCCAAGAAGAAACTAGAGCTAATAGGCCAAGCAGTGATTTAATCAAGACAGTTTTTGAGTGATTATTTCAGGTCTGAGCAGCCAGGAATGAACAAGTGGCCTCTGCCTATAAAAGACAGTTTTCAGAATGTTGTGTTTACATTGCAGGACACATATATCTCAGAGGGAAAACTGATGCTGAAGAAAAGCTTACTTTTAAATGTTAATGTTTAAAACCATACCTGTTGAACTTGCTAACAAAAACAACAATAACAAAACCCCAAAACACTTTCAGCTGCAATTAATATTACAGGCTTTCCTTTCAAGATTAATATCTAAAAGTTGTACAGGAATGCCAAGTTCTGTGTGACACTCTCTTGAAAAGAGAAGAGGTTTAACATGAAAGTTAGCATGGATGTTTGTCAGTTTGAAGGCTTTGTCCTTCCACCATAAAAAAAGAGAACTGAGTTTTCAAGTACTGACAGATAATTTCAATTATTCTACAATAGTATTCTTATAATGATAGTTTTGGCAATCAAAGATTGATATATTAAAAAAGATTAATTTATACAGTCTAAAATTTACCAACAAGGAAAGACATCCACAACAGAACTTCAGAGACAGCTTCCTTATGAAAAGCAGAGAAACTGCTGGCATCCCTGGTCCCTTCCCTCCTGTGTCCCAGTCCCTCAGCTCCTCTGACCTGGAAGGTTCCAAGGCTACCGGGCTGCGGTTCCTGCCACTGTGCTGCTGACTGGTGACTTTCTCAAGCCATCCAGGGAACCTACTATGTATCTGAGGAATGTTCACGTCCCTGTGACACTCCGCTGTGTCCTCTGCACCCACGTTTGAACAACCTTTTATTTGGGGTGACAATGGAGAATCCATGACCAGTAAGTCCTAGGTAAATAACCAGTAACTGGTACATTTACTGAGAGTTCCATTTAATAGCCCTGGTGTCTGGGAGCAGCATTATTTACCCATGTTGAATATATCTGTTCAAAATTTTTAAAATTCTATTTCCTATTAACTTGTTAGATAGTGGAATTTCACTAGGCAGTGATGGTGCACTCCTTTAATCTGGGAGGCAGAGGCAGGCAGATCTTGGAGATCAAGAACAGCCTAATCTTCACCATGAGTTCCAAGAAGTGGGAATAAACAGGGAAACCCTGTTTACAAAATAAAACAATACTGTGATTTAATAAGACTTCTTCATATGATGTGGGATTCCCCTCTGTATGCTATGATTACCATTAATGAATAAAGAAACTGCTTTGGACTTATAGCAGGGCAGAACTTAGCTAGGCATGGAAAACTAAACTGAATGCTGGGAAAAAGAAAGTAGAGTCAGGAGAGAAGCCTTGGAACCACTGCCAGAGACAGACATGCTGAAACCTTGCCAGTAGGCCATGAGCCTCATGGTAAAATATAAAATAATGAAGATGAGTTAATTCTAGATATAATAGCTAGCTAGCAATATGCTTAAGTAATTGGCCAAACAGTGATTCAATCAATACAGTTTCTGTGTGGTTACTTCAGGAGTCTGGGCAGCTGGAAAATGAACAAGCAGGCTCCTACGACAAATTGATGCTCCAACATGGTTGACTAAATCCACGGAAAACCTTAGAAGACTTAGAAAGGAATTCTAGACACTAATAAACAAAGTTTCACCACATTTTTTCTTTCAAATGGGCTTTGCTTGCTGGCAGCATGCTGTGGTTCCTTTAAGTGAGGTCTTATTGATTCAACAATAGCAGAAACAAAGCCATGCCATTTTGAAATGGTGGCTTCCTGGGCCATGATGCTTCCACCATGAACTCTGACAAGGTCTGGCTATGGGGCCTTTAAATGGCTTTTGTGAGTAGAGTGCTACAACTTGATTAATAGCAATGTAGACCCTCTGTGTGCCTGAAAATGGGGCAATATGCATTGCTTTCAGAAGCAGCAATCAAGTATCCACCATGTTGGACTTCACAAAGAAAGCAGACAGGACTGTGGAGCTGGTCTTAGCCACAGTCATTTAGCATTAAAAAACAGTATTCCTGGTCAAAAGATAATTACAGATATTCTCTAAAGACAAATTAAGCCATAAAATACCTCTAAATGGGTAGCAGTGTATTTTAAAAATGTACACAGGCTTGGGAGAGAGAAGAAAATGAATATAAACAGTTATAAAAAGAAGTAATTTTTAAAAAAATAAAACAAAGTTTTTAAAAAGACAGAGAATAGATAGTCATAGATTAAAGAAATAAAAAATAAGACACAAAAACATGGAATATTCACAGAGAGCCTGGATTATGAATATTATTGTGTTTCCTCTGATTTTTTTAATATGAAGGAGCTAAGTAACAAACATATATACTTTAAAGGTATCTTGGCTTCCAAATTTGGGTCTAAAGATTTGTTGCTTTGGAAAAGAAGTTCTGCTTTTATTTCCACATAAGATGAGAACCTGTGAATTCATGGTTTGGTGGACCAAGACCCCCTAAAAGGTCACTGTGAACAGCCCCAAAATTACTTTTCCCAATAAACAGCAGGGAGTAGTTTGGAGAGAACTATGCCCATATTCCCAAATATTGTTTATAAATGTTTGCTTACATTTAAAGGGGAGTATGCATAGAGATGAATACTTTGCATTGGTATTAATCAAATTTTAAGTCAAGTTTATTATATGTATATTTATGATCTTGATTAAAGTATTGTGTTTGTGCAGCTCATTTAAAAATGTAATGTATATAATAGTCAAGTGTGTAATCATGATAGTTATGTTTTCTAGATATATAGAGATATATTTCAGTTAGGTATTCTTCAAATATTTCAGAGACCTTCAGAATATAGCATTTAAAATGTTTTAAGAACTTAGTATTTTTCATGACAATGAGACACATCTGCTCCTGGCAGCACCAATTACTTCAAGAGGAAGATGGACATGGAGAGGCTTTATGGAGTTTGTTCGCCATTTGGGCAGAAGACTGCTCTTGCCTGGACTTCTTGATGAACTGGACATGCAAGATGACAGAAAAATGATTGCTAAACTTGCCTAAAGGTGATATGATCCTTTGGGGGTTCCTGCTTCATGAAAGAGTCTTCTAGGCATTCTATAGAACACAGAGAAATGTGACTGACAAACTGCCAATATAGGTATAACTGTCTTTGAAATTTCCTGCTTCATGGAAAAATCTGCCAGATACTATGGGCCTGTAGACTGAAAATGGATGCCCCAAAGGTACAGAAGAACTTTGGGTGACTGTCTAGGCAGCAAGATGTCTCTGTAAATTCTAAAGTTTTGGAAGTTGCTTACAATGCACTTCCTGTTTACTTAGGTAATATTATATCTTTC